TTTGTTGACTTTCATTTTGAACACCCTGTAAATCACAATTGAATAGACCAAACAAAAAATGGTAAAGGAATTTTTTTTAGCTCTAAATGTCACCTTTCTAGCAAGGATAAATTTGAAATTGTTTGATTGATATTTTGCGAGAAATCGATAACTAAAGTCATCTAACGAAAAAATAATGGATTACTTTTTCCCCAACCTAATATTAATACATACACAATAGATAATTTAAATATATAAAAAGTATCTTAACAACAGATTAACAAACAGAACCTAAAAATATTGTATTACCGAGAACTTTAAGAATAAAATGTAATAAACGAAGCAACATCGAGTACCACCATATTGTTGTATTAATATCGATATGTTATTAACTTCCTATTACTACCCTTACAAATATAAGATCATTTCCAATCAAAGTAATTCTCCAGAGTGTATGTGTAAAAATGGACCTTAGATCGATTGGACTTTAGATAGTACAACGAATAGAATTGGATGTTATATGTGTCACATCTTAAAAATTGCTTTAATGAATAATATCATCACACGATATCTTGTGAAAAGTATTGCAAGATCAAGAATGGAATAAAAATATTGTTATATAATATATTTTTCTTTATTTTTCTTTCTTTTCTTGTACGATTAATCTTGGTATATCTTATTGGTTTTCAACTTACTCGTTTAAAGTATACTTTTTATCAAAGTTTATCATCGTACGAGTTGGAAGAAACCTTTTATTTTTCCAATTGGTCTAAGTCGGATGTTCCCAAGGGATAAAACAGAAAACAAACAAAAAAGTGTTACGAAAATATGACTCACCTGAATGAGTAGATTGTCGTCCAGTTGATGGCTGAGTTGCAACCGATCTTGGCATCCTGGCAGTTGGATCCTCGCTACTTTGTCCACTGCTCGTGGCACTCATCGGGCTGTCCATACTTCTACTAACGACGTTGACGTTGACGTTGACGTTGTTACCAGGTAAAATAGGACCGGTTGGGATGCTACTAGGTACACCGGTATCAACGGTAACACCACTAGCTCGCGTTAATACCGGACTCGAACTTGGGGTAAACAGTGAACGTGTACCAGCACCAATAGCATAACCCTGGCCTCTTATTTTGTCATCTAACGGTGACACCAATGTATCCTCTATTGGCTTTCTAGCGTGTAATTCTACTAATCCAGGTGCACTCTGACATCTGCTCATTGCCACTGAAATATTTCACAATATGATTGTAAATCTCAGACATATTTTATATAAATAATATGAGGATAATATATGAGAGAGATTTGCGTTTAGGTTTTTAACTGAATGATTAATCGATAACTATATCTGTGATCTTTTTTTTTTTTAACGTTGACAGAGATTATCAAAAGTTTCATCGTCAAAGTTTTTTCGTGCTTTTTATTTGATTATAAATTTGAATAAAAAGTCAAATCGGAAATTGATTTTCGTTTATTTTCTATCGATTATTTTTGTTTGTTTTTCCTTTTATTTATTTATTTTTTTTTTTAATCAAAAACGTTATCTTTACAATAGATGGATAGACAGATACCTATTGTCAATGGATATCCTTGTTTTTTTTTACGCCATCTAAAAGCAAAAGGTGAGTGGATTCAGAGGAGTATCTGTTTCTTTATATTAAAGCATTCTAAGCCACGAGAATGAGAAATCGATTTCGTCTTTTTCTCGCTTTAACAACGCTTTTACCTCTTTGAGATCTTCTTTCATTTTAAACAACACAATCAACCGTGCCTTCTTTGTCACTTGTTCTAAAGAAACGTCGTTGAAATACTCTATCAAAATATAGTATATTCTCTTATGTTTGTCTAGTTGTTATTCTCGAATTTATACGACGTTTCAAATTTATATCGATATTATTCTAAGAGGGAGAGGAGGGTGATAGGGTGTGAGAAAAAAAAATAACCAATGAAATGAAATAATTGTAATTAAAAAAAAAAAAAAATAAATAAAAGAAAGAAGTAAATCATCGTACTCAACTTTTGTAATTTGTTTTGTCAAGTTTGGATTATTGTTAAAAAAATGTTTAGCACAAATAAGGGAGATAAATAAGGGATAAAAAAGAAAAAAAGAAAAGGTACTCACATTTCTTAAGCGGAGCTTTCTTGTACTTCTCGAGTCTTTTAACCGCTATTGATTCCAATCTAACTCTAGCAGCTGGATATTCCTTAAGGACGTCCCACATGTCCTTTTTGCTGAGAACGAATAGGTCCGAGTAGCCGACAGACCTCACACTCGCTGTTCGTCGATTACCTGCGTCGATGTAGCCATTTATTGGTTACCAGGGTGAATCAAGCTTTCTTTTTTATCTCGCTACCGATCAATTTCTCGATCCTTTTTATTTTCTTTCTTTTAATTTTAATTTTAATTATTTTATTTTTCCCATTTTTTCTTTCTTCTCGTAATCGGTTGGTTTTTCTTATTTTTTTTTTTTTACAACCACGAATTAAACGAATTACGAATTTCGTTTTCGCATTAATCGAATTAATTTGTAAAAAACAAAAAAGAATAATTTTTATACTATCGATTATTTATTTTTTACGTTTTTACGATTCGTTGTTGAAGTATTCGTTATCAATAAAAAAAAAAAACAAAAAAGAAAAAAACCATGTGATTTTGTTTCAAACGCACGCGTTACGAATAACGATAAGACACGTCTCGTGGATACGTGTAAAATAAATTTTTCTTTAATCGCGTTTAACTTGATTACGAAAATGCTTTTTGCGGTTTACCGTTACATTAGATTTTATCGTTACGTCGATGTAAAATATTACTTTCATCTTGGTAATTTGAATATCTCGTTACGTTTTTCCTACAGTAATACGGTATTACTATTACAAACGATAATGATCGTGAAAATTGGACGAATTTGAAATAAATTATTCACATTTTGAATAGAAATATTATTATATACTATACATGTAATTATAATTATGTATATTTTTGATTAAACGTTATAAATGTCGATTTCGAATAATTGTTTGACTACGAATGACGATACACGATTGTGCAAATAACGTTCGAAAATAAATTGATTCTGAAATATATATATATGAATATATTGCTTTCCGGATAATTTTCATTTGAAATTATATTTAAAATATAATCGAAAATGTGAGCGAGATAAAAATCGAAAATACTTGTAATTCGCATTTAGAGAAACTACTCGCTTCAATGAAAATTCGATGATTGATCATTTTACTAAATTAAAATAAATTACGTTCATTTGATCATTATCAAATATTTATTGTTCAAAATGATAATGGCGTTAATTAGATTTTCATTTGAAAAGCGATTATCTTCCCATGAACGAGTAATAATAAAATGTAATAAATAATTATACCAGTATATATA